TGCAATGCATCTTGTAGATGGTGCAGAGATAGTAGGAACTGCAGATGCTGGAGAATCTGAGACAACAAGGTGCAGAGCTGGATGAACACAGCAGGCGAAGCAGCGTCATAGGAGCAGAAAGGCTGACGTTTCGGGCCTAGACCCTTCATCAGAAATGCTGTGCATTCATCCAGACCTTCAACAACTGCTGCCATCTTCCTTTGTCCTATGACAAATCCAACCAGTGGAGAACCCTCCTCCTGATTCCCATCGACTTCAATTTTGTTAGGGTTTCTTGATGCTACACTTGGTCAAATGTGGCCTTGATGTCAAGTCACTCTCCCCTCATCTCTTTGTTCAGTATTTTTTCTGTCTTTGTTTGGACCAAGGCCATCATGAGTCCTGAAGCCAAGTGACCCTAGCAGACCACAAACTGAGCACTAGTGAACGGATTGTGATGAGTAAGTCAAACTTAGTCAGTAACGCCTTGCATCACATGGCAAATGATAGAGAGCAGACTGATGGGGTGATAATTGGTCAAATTTCATTGACTCTGCTTTTAGCAGACATGATATATTGGGGAAACCTTTCTCCCTGTCAGTTGGATTCCAATGTTGTAGCTATGCTGAAATAGTTTGGCTTGCAGCCAACTCCAGAGCTTAAGTTGTCAGTAGTACGGGCATGCTGTTATGCAGTCATAGAGTCATACAGCATGGAAAAAGACCTTTTGGTCCAACCAATCCATGCCAGCAATAATCACAAACTAAACTCGTCCCATCTGCCTGCATTTGGCCCATATCCCTTCATTTCTTATTCATGTACTTATCCAAATGTCTTTTAAATGTTGCAACTGTACACACATCCACCAGTTCCTCTGGAAGTTCATTCCACTCATGAACCACTCTCTGTGTAAACCAAATTGCCCCCGTGTCTTTTTTACATCTTTCTCCTCCCCCTCTTAAAAATATGCCCCCTAGACTTGAAGCCCCCATTCACCCTATATATGCCCTTCATTATTTTATAGACTTCTATTGGGTCGCCTCTCAATGTTCCATCTACAGTGGAAAATGTCCCAGCCTATCCATCTCTCCTTATAACTCAAACCCTACATTCTTGGCAACGTCCTGGAACATCTCTTCTGAACCCTTTCCAGCTTAATAATATCCTTCCAATGATAGGGCAACCAGAACTGCACACAGTACTCCAGAAGAGGCCTCACCAATGTCCCGTATAATCTCACCGTAACATCCCAACTCCTATACTCAAAGGCCTGAGCAATGAAGGGAAGCATGCTAAACGCCTTCTTAACTACTATCATAGAATCCCTACAGTGTGGAACCAGGCCCTTCGGCCCAACAAGTCCACACCAACCCTTGGAGCATCCCACCCAGACCCATCCCCCTATAACCCGCACACCTCTGAACACTACGGGCAATTTAGCATGGCCAATCCACCTAGCCTGCACATCTTTGGACTGTGGGAGGAAACCGGAGCACCCAGAGGAAACCCACGCAGACACAAGGAGAGTGTGCAAACTCTGCACAGACAGTCACCCAAGGCTGGAATCGAACCCAGGTCCTTGGTGCTGTAAGGTTGCAGTGCTAACCACTGAGCCACCGTGCCGCCCTAGATAAATATTGATATATATATGCGATGCAAACTTCAAACAATTATGTACCTGAACCCCTAGGTCTCTCTGTTCTACAACACTACCTAGGCCCTATTTTTAATTGTATAAATCTTTTGTCTTTGTTTGTTTTACCAAAATGTATTTCCTCACATTTATCCAAATTAAACTCTGTCTGTCACTCTTCAGCCCATTGCCCTAATTGATCAAGATCTCTTTGTAATCTTAGATAACCTTCTTCACTGTCCATCATACCATCAATTTTGGTGTCATCTGCAAACTTACTAACCATGCTTTGTACATTCTCATTTATTTATATAAATGATAAACAAAAGTGGATGCAGCACCGATCCCTGTGGGTCTAGGCCCGAAACGTCAGCCTTCCTGCTCCTCTGATGCTGCTTGGCCTGCTGTGTTCATACAGCTCTACACCTTGTTGTCTCAGATTCTCCAGCATCTACAGTTCCTACTGCTTGTGGAACACTGCTGGTCATAGGCCTCCAGTCTGGAAAACAACCCTTCATCACTACCCTCTGTCTCCTGCCTTTAAGCCAATTTTGTGTCTACTTGGCAAGCTCACCCTGAATCCCACGTGATCTAACTTTACAAATTAGGCTACCATGTGGAACCTTGTCAAAGGCTTTACTAAAGTCCAAGTAAACAATGTCTTCTGATCTGCCCTAATCAATCTTTTTAGTTACTTCCTCAAAAAACCCAATCAAGTTTTTGAGACATGATTTCCCTCGGAGAAACCCATGCTGACTATCCATATTCACTCCTTGCCTCTCCAAATGCATATAAATCTCATCATTCAGAATCACTTCCAACAACTTACCCACAACCAAAGTCAGACTCACAGGTCTTTAACTCCCAGGCCTAATCTTACCCCTTTCTTAAATAAAGGCACAACATTAATCACGCTGCAGTCACTCGGCACCTCACCTGTATTTATGGATAATACAAATATTTCTGCAAGGGACTCATCATTTCCTCCCTAACTTCGCACAAAGTCCTGGGACACACTAGATCAGAATGTGGACATTTGTCCACCTTTATATTTTCTAAAACCTCCAACACTTCATCTTCTGTAATATGAACTGTTTTCAAAACATCAATATTTTTTCCTCTGAGTTCTCTAGCCTCCATTTCTTTCTCCACAATAAAAACTGACATGAAATATTCATTTAATATCTCTCCCTTCCATTAAGGTTCAACATGAAGACAACCTCGTTGATGTTTGTGAGTCCCTAATCTCTCTCTCCAGCTGTTGTCAAGGTCTAGAGCTGTTATGGTATCCAATGTTTTCAGTTGTTTCTTGATATCACTTTAATGAATGGAATTGTCTGGAGATTGTCATCTGTGATGGTGGGGACCTCTGGGAGGTAGAGATGGATCATCCACTCAGCACTTGTGATTGAAAGAGCATGAGTACTCTTTTGTTGAAGGTGACAGGAAGGAGTAAGTTCAAATGCCTGTTATAACCCCTTCTTAGGACAAATTACAGCTTAGATTTTCTAATCAACCTATTCATAGATTTTGCTACACATCTCTGGAGCAGGTGGGACTTGAAGCCTGGTCTTCTGGCTCAGAGATAAGGACATTACCACAAGAACCCTCCAATTTTAAATTAGTTTAAATATTTACTGTCAGCTTCCCTGGTAATTACACAGCATACGATTTTCGCAGTACTGATCCTGGGTTCAGTTATTGGCCAGTTGACCCCAGCTGCAAGAATGCATTTGGAATCAGTTCTGATGAAAAGTCGTGGATCTGAAATGAAGACCCTGTTTCCTTCTGTACAGATGCTGTGAGACCTATCGAGTTTTCCAGCACTTCCTCTTTCTATTCCAGATTTCTAGCATTTGCAGTGTTTTGCTTAAGCATAGCTGTTGGTTGACAACGCCAGGGTTTATTGATCCCCAACGTACACAAGGATACTGCTAAGCCAGATAAAACTGTGTAGCTTAACAAAACACAGTGTCTGTCAGCTTTTCATGGCTTGTCTAATTAGAACCATACTACACATTGGCATGTAGGCTTGGAGGCTTATCTGCTAAGTAGAAAACTTCCAAAAACAGACATATTTTTCCAGGATTTATTACAGAGCCTGAATAGCTAGTCAATCATCTACAGTACCCTGTAGATCTGTGAATCCATCTAGCTCAAGTATCAGATTACTAAGTCTGTTATAATGAATTCACTGGTTTCTGAAATGTCATCACTTGGCATATTATCTTTTTTTTATTTATTCATTTTTGTGGGTGTGGGCATCACTGGTTGACCAGCATTTATTACCCGTCCCTAGGTGCTCTTGAGAAGGTGGTGATGAGCTGCCTTCTTGAACCGCTGCAATCCACCTGCTGTAGGTTGACCCACGATGCCATTAGGGAGGGAATTCCAGGATTTTGAACCAGTGGCAATGAAGGAACAGCGATATATTTCCAAGTCAGGATGGTGAGTGGTTTGGAGGGGAAGTTGAAAGTGGTAGTATTCCCATATATCTGCTGCCCTTGTCCTTCTAGATGGAAGAGGTCTTGGGTTTGGAAGGTGCTGTCTGAGGATCTTTAGTGAATTTCTGCAGTCACCTTGCCTTCAAACATACTGCACTTCCTTTCCTCAAACTGGATACACCCACAAGTACTGTCAGGCTGGCAGTTTTCGGATTTTGATCAAACAATTGTGAAAGATGGTGATCTAGTTCCAAGCTAAGATGGTGTTTGGCTTGGAGTGGGATTGATTACAAACTTTGTTAAATAACTAAAATAACTGCTAAAATATGAATAGAAATTAACAAGTTAAATATTTTGCAGTAACTACACTACTCCTGTTAGTCCTGTTGTAGATAGCAGCAAGGTATTCATTTCACAATGTGCTAACGAAGGGAATAAATGTAATAGATTCTAATATCTTCATCATGATGTGGTTGCACAGCATTTTAGTTAACCAATGATAATTCTATCATTTGTAGTTCATGTTGTAACTCCACAAACAGCACGGTTTTTTTCTCTGTAATTTACAACTCGCTAACATTATGGGAATGGGAACATTTTGGATTTACAATTTCTGCATCTATGATTTCATTAGTTTATTCTTGACTAGACAGCAAAATAGGTAATCTCCTATTTTTAATTGAAAGATTTACTTGAAGAGAAGTGATGATGGTGTTAGTATTTAAGTTAAGTATAAAATGTGGATGTACCTTCCTAGCTTTTGCAAGGAACCAAAATACTGGTTCTACCTTGTCATTTAGTGTGAAGTTGTGAGGAGGATTCACCACATCTGAGAAGGGGATTGCAGAGGACCTGCTGCTCAACAGGATGAACAGCGTCCAACAGAGGGCAGTAGTGAGAAGCAACTGAGAAGCATGCTGGGTGAAGAATTTTGGGAGTGATCATTTTCGACAGGGCTGTGAGGTTAAAGTACAGACTTTGGTGAGCATCAGCCTTTATTGAGGAGACAGGTCAGCATTAAGGTACATCAAGGTAAGGTCTTTTCTTTTAATCCAATAGTTACTAGAGGGGTAGTAATGACAGTTAGTGGAGTAGTGTGCTCCTCCTTTGAGATGTGGGAGATCAGGAAAAAGCCAGAAGTCCCTGACATCTGTGTCTACAAGAAGTATTTCCACCTGCAGCTCCTCTCAGAACACATGGATAAAGTAAGGGTGCGAAAGAGGTCTACCAGGATGTTGCCTGGATTGGAGTGTATAAGCTATAAGGAGAGGTTGCACATTGCTTTCACTAGATCATCAGAGGCTAAGGGCAACCTGAAAGAAGTCAATAAAATTATAAGAGGCATAGACAGAGTGGAGAGTTTGAATCTTTCCCTCGGGGTGGAAATGTCAATTACTAGGGGGCATAGGTTTAAGGTGAAAGGGGGAATGTTTAAAGGAGATATGAGGGGAAAGGTTTTGCACAGAGGGTGGTGCCAGTGGAGATGGTAGAAGTAGATACAATAGGAAAGTTTAAAAGACATTTTGACAGACGTGTGACAGCAGAGAATAGAGGGATATGGACCACATCCAGGCAGATGAGATTAGTTTAGAATGGCGTTATGATCAGCACAGACGTGGTCGGCTGAAGAGTCTGTTCTGCGCTATGCTGTTCTATGTTCTATTTGCTATTCCTTTCTGACTTATGATTCCTGACATTTGTTGTCTTGTACCTTCCCACCACCACTCCCCTCTGCCAACTCCACCAAATGAACATTATTAATCTGTTTTCTTTCATCCTGAACATCAATCATGGGTACATTTGAATCTAGCGCAATCCTATCTTTCCCAATCTGTTCACATATGTAATTTCAGTAAAGGTTATTTGATAATAATTAAGAGTGGATGTCAAGGTCTTATTTTTCTTTTTCATCGTAACCCACAGCATTAAATATATAAAGATTAAGACACTATTAAAAATTATAATAGAGGAGCAGGTTAATCATAAGTCATCCTGGGCATGGTTTTGCTTTAATTGGACTTTCCACTGAAATATTTCAGCAGAATTAATTTGACTTTAAGGTATCAACAGCTTCAGATTCTGCAAAATATCTGTAGGGATAATATTTGCTGCTTTGCAATTAAGTCAAATGAGTTTCAAGGCATCGATCACAACCATGGCTGGATATTACATAACCCCACCAGGCTGTTTTCAGGCATGGCATGGAAAATTGCTTAGATACCCACTCTGCCACTTTCCCAACCACCGACACATTTTTGAAGTTTTCCTGAAAGCTTTTGATAATTACTTCAATTTGAGAATCAATAATTCTAGAACAAGATTTAGTGGAAGAGGTCCCTCTTCCATGAAAATTACTGATAATTCCATTAATTTACCAATTAGTGTAAAACTGAATGCGGAGTCTTGAAATCAGAATTCATAACTTAGTCAGTTTTATTACTGTCCAAGAAAGATTTAACTTTGGATAATACTGTTCAAATCAGGCTGGAAATAGAACTCAGAAAGACTCATAGAACGATCCTGGGAGAAGATCAACACTAACTCAAGAAGGCAACAGATGCTATCCAATTTATATAGTATAGACACTGTAGAGAGACGTGTGACAAAGCTACACCAAAAATAAGACTTGATGCTAAAAATCAATGACCACAAAGTGAGACAACTAGGGCTCATTGACATAGGCAAGGCTTGACCTTCACTAAGGAATGCTACATTTGTAAAACTGCAGATTACTTACAGAAGATTTGCAGAAGGAAGATACAGTTTCAGTACAGAGGAAGTACGGGTGGTAGACTCCATAAAGAACATCAATTACTCTTGGAAATTATACTTGCACTTGACGAAATACCTCAATTGGAGAACATATCTAGGGCATTCCTAGGGGAATTAACTAATTCAGATAAGCCTGGAGACAAAATTGTCTAAGGCAGTGGATATCCTGTTGATTTTATGCTTGATACAGGAACAAATGTTACTGTCCTATCAAACCAGCTACCAAAGTGCGAACAAGATTGTTGTCATAGGTGTTGAATTACTGCAAGTAGCACTACACTGCAACACACATAGCAGAGTTGAAAGTGTGTACATTTTTTGCAATCACTTTTGAGCCTGTGTGCACCTCTCAACCTCAATCTCTTCAGAAGAGTTGGAGGAGGTCAATGATATCCAGAGAACAACTGATCCAGGAGCTGTCGGGCGATTGGTCCAGGGATATATCCTTATTGATCAACCAATCAAGAGACAATTGGGAGAAGGCTTATTTGGCCTTCCAAGACTCATGACAGAACACAAACAAAGGAAACAATCAAAGGAGATCAGTTATTTCATCATAAGAAAGGCAACATAATGGAATTCACATACTTCACAGCAATAGCAGAAATATTCAATCTTTTGTCTTCTAAAACCGAATAGTCTATGCCAATGAATGACAGTATACCGAGTGAGTAACAACCTTTTAGTGAGATGACTGAGAGTCCAAAAGAGAATTACTTCATCAGTCAAACAACCACAACAGGTGACCGAAGACATCTGCTTGATCAATAACTTGGGGGAGATAAGCTGCATATAGATCCTTGACAGTCAGACCAACATCTACAATCCAGAAAAGAAGAGAAAACTGTCTGGTTTAAACATTCACAATACTTGAAAAAAGTCCACCTTTTCCAATTGGAAAGCAATTGCCTGCTCCAGAAATCCAGGTTGCTCCAAGGAAGAAAGTATTTATTTCAGCAGTGCAGCTGTCTTCCAATAAGGAAATTCAGGAAATTATATACTCCAGACAAAGTAATGGGCCTATTAATGATATCTACAAAGAATGCCATACTCCCTGAAGAATATCTTGGAGATAAAAGACTCTCCAATGGAAAAAAATGATCCACTAATCAGAGCCAGGGTCAACAGTCCTCAAGTGAAAGGCCTACCATTCTTCCAAACGTGAAGAAAATGTGTACTGAGAGAACTGTGGAAAATTTAGACTGTCCTCATTTGTAAAGTCAGAGATTTGGGACAGAAATAGGTAGAGATAAATAACTCATATTCCGCTTGGGAACCCTGCAGCCCAATGGTATCAATGTGGATTTCACAAGTTTCAAAATCTCCCCTCCCCCCCACCGCATCCCAAAACCAGTCCAACTCGTCCCTGCCTCCCTAACCTGTTCTTCCTCCCACCTATCCCCTCCTCCCACCCCAAGCCGCACCTCCATCTCCTACCGACCAACCTCGTCCCACCCCCTTGACCTGTCCGTCCTCCCTGGACTGACCTATCCCCTTCCTAACTCCCTACCTACACTCACCTTTCCTGGCCCCATCCCCGCCTCTTCGACCTGTTTGTTTCCTCTCCACCTATCCTCTCCTCTATCCCTCTTCTATCCGCCTCCCACTCTCTCCCTATTTATTTCAAAACCCCCTTCCCCTCCCCCTTTTCTGATGAAGGGTCTAGGCCCGAAACGTCAGCCTCTCTGCTCCTATGATGCTGCTTGGCCTGCTGTGTTCATCCAGCCCTGCACCTTGTTGTCAGAGATAAATGTAGTATGGTTATATACATGATTATACAATTGCTTAATGATGGGGGAAAATTCTTGGGTGTAAATGGGAAGGGAATGTTGAGACCATCACTATAGTTCTTTTATTTTTCTTATTTTTGGTTTGGTATTGTGAGTTAAAGAGATTTGAGCTTTGAGCAGCAACTTGTTTTAAGAAAGAAATGGGGAGAGAACGAAAGACAAACATTAGCAGTTGGGAGCTGGCCTGGAAAGATAATGCAGGTAAATTACTGTTCTAAGGAAACAGTAGGTGAACTGGAACTGAGATGTTGCTATACTCAGGGACTGGCAGCTGGTTGGATTTTGATTTTTTTAATCAAGGGAGGACTGGTGTTAGCCAACCAATGACAGTGAATCTTGAAAAAAGATGAGTTAACTGGCTTTGGCTGGGTTTTTTGCAGGAGGCAGTTTTATTTTGGAAGCTTCCAGACTGGGGTTGTTTTTGGTTTTTGCTCTCTCTAGCTATTCTTCAGTTATTAACTTGTTGAAAGTTCTGAGAAAATAATCCCAGTCTGTAAGAAATGAGTCAAAAGTCTCCAGAGCTCTGTGGAAGCTATTTGCATTAATGGGTAACTTTGGAATTCGAGCAAGATATATAGTCTTACGTATCGGTAATACATTATTGAAGGATTTCATGAAGGCCTGATATTTATAATTGAAAGAGTTATTGAACTGGCAAGTTATGATTCTTTCAGTTTCTTTTTCAATTTATCCCCTTAACTATGTGTAGGTATTTATGATTAAAGAAGATTGGGCTTCAATCGTAGATATTAATTAGACTGCCGTGTTGTTTATCTGTGTTCTGCTAAAGTTACATTCTTAATAATAAATTGTTATTTTTTGCTTAAGTTATAAACCTGCTGTCCATGATCAGTTATTTGTGAAGTCTAGTTCGGAACAATTGAGCAATTTTGAGGGCTATTGAATGTTTTAATTTCATGGTTACAAATTCAGTGATAGTGAAGTTGATTTGGTTTGGTTTGCTATTCTCTGTGTTGCAAAAAAATGGTTCTGAATGGATTATTGCCCGTAATACATTTGCTCCACCCATTCTACTGATGTCACAAGCAGTCAATGCATGGAGCCAAGGAGTTCTATGCTTGCTATTGGAGGAGCAGGCGCTATTTGTACTGGCTCAGTAAGATTTTAGTACTTATACCTGACCAAATGTATGTATTACTATCATACAATAAACCTTATCATGTAAGAACAGTGTCTCTTCTGCAGATACTCCATGGTCTTTTTTTAAAAATTCAGTCATGGGATGAGAATGTTGCTTATTGTCCAGAGATGTCCGAGTCAAATCTAGGTCAGACCAGGTAAGGATGGCAATTTCCTTCACTAAAGAACATTACAATTTTTAAATTGAATTCAAATTCCACCATCTGTTGCGGTGGGATTTGAACCCAGGTTCCCAGAATATTACTGAAAACAACAAATGCTGGAGATCACAGTGGGTCAGACAGCATCCATGGAGAGAGAGTAAGCTAACATTTCAAGTTTAGATGACTCTTCAGTTTGTTATTTTCAGTTCAGATTCCAGCATCTGCAGTAATTTGTTCCCCCACAATATTACCTGGGTTTCTGGATTAACCGTCCAGCGATAATACCATTAGGCCACTACCTCTCTTATTCTTTACCTTCTTCTTGTCATTAGATTATCCCAGGACAAAGGGGTATTGGTGGCAGCAAACTACCTCAAACAGATGGAGGTGGCAGATACCAGAAGGTGCCAGGAATGGTCATCTGGGAAGATACCACACTTAGGTGTGTGTTTCGTGAGTAACTAAACTACCTATAAAGCAGGAATGGAATTATGTTTCTAGATTGACCTTTCTTGCAAATCCCTCCTAACCACACACACCGGCACCCGCTCCTCGCCATATCCATGATGTTCCAGTCGATACATGTCTCAGTCATCCATTTCCCAGCCTTAAGATATTATTATAAAGTCCAGATCAGATAAAGTCTCAGTTGTTATCGTGGCGTACCTTAATTAAAAAACAACTAACTGCTTTCCCGTTCGTACTAAAGTTTAGCAGTACAAAATGCTGCAATTTTTGCAGCATTGTAAGTCCCTGCTGTGGTTTAAGGCAGTTTTGTATTAGTCAATGAAATCTCCACCGTGAGCTTCAACTGGAAATGTCGTGTAAGACAACTCGCGTCTATGCCGCAACTCCTGTGAATCAGCATGATCGAGCCGCAGGGTTCAAGAGCATCTCCTCCATTCATTGATACAGCGTGGACATCCTGCTGGAAACCTCAGTTAGCAGGAGCATACCAAAACCACGCAGGAGCCGGGGGGGCGTGGGACACCTCAGACCAAATCTCCCCCTCACTCCAGTAAATGGGGAGCTAAAGCGTCAGTCGGCAAACAAGCAGGGTTTGTTTTACTCGTAGAAGATGTAAACAAAACTCATACCTGATTTGTTTTCGTAAACTGAAGGCGCTGTTTGTGGCTTATGTTCTGAGTGTGTGCTTTGCACCCCTGCGAGTGGAATGGGCGCGCTCTCTCTGTTTCAATCAGCCCAGCTGTGAAGTGTTACATTGTTGCATTGTGCTTCTGAACTGTGTCCATTTCACATCGTCCTTACATCGGGACATGCTTCATACAAGACAACCAAGGCATAGGCAAGACTGCGTTTGATCTTTTAACAAGGTAAAGTGCAGCGCTGGAAAGAAATACCTTAGGCGTGTAATCTCCTATGCGGAAGATAACGGTTTTATTTTTGTGAACGCTAACAATCTGCGCTTAAACCGGACGGCAATTGTAACGTTATCTGTCGCGATTTTCTGGGCAGCCTTTATAACGTATCAGATCACGCTAATTTACTTACGACGACCTTCAATGCTAATTATTCTTGGGTGTATATGTATGTGTGTAACACATCACACTGGTTCACCTTTACTTTCAGTGAAACTGAACGCGGTTTAAGTAGATTTGCATATACTTTTAAGAGCCGTGATCTGAACTAATACTGTATGCTGGATGAATGGATATTGCTGGAAGTTCAATTATCCGAGGTATTTCGCTACGGGGGGTGAAGTTATTAGATCGACGATTTATGATTGTAGGAAGAACGTCTTGGTTGTTTTAACATGAAACAATTACCATATTTCTAATTCTAGCACGAAGTTGATCCTTCCTTAGAACAACTTAGTTTTCCTCCATACCATCTCTCACTTCTGATCTGGTAAGCCGAAATTCAATTGTTATGAAATGAGTTGTTGTCTTTCTGTGGTTATTTGCATTGCTGGGGATTTGCAGGGATAAATCTCTTGAGTACAGCCCGTTAATCAGGCAGCGGTAAATCCCTTGCCCCAAGCGAGTGATCTTGAACCACTGCTGTCTCACTGGTCCAGTCTTGCGTTGAATTAACAGATACAATTCTATTCTTACAGACTCACTCTATTGTGTTCACTGTAGATACAAAGAAGGGTTATTTGCATATTTTGGGGGAATAAAAGGTCAACTGGATGTTATTTGATTCAAGTTTTTCAAATTGAAAGAAGCCTTGGGTTTGTCATTTTTGGGATATTGAGTTCTATGAATTGGATCATGCAAAATATCCACTTTGATTTTGTATTTCTGGCTAATGTCAGAATTAGTGTGGTTGGTATTCCATTGTCTTGCTGCAAGAATAACTGACCTCTGCATAAGTTATGGTTCCATTTTATTCTGCTAATTTCAAGTTGATGTAAAATGGCTTTGGGCGCACATCAATGCAACTTTTAACTATGAAGAGCATCAAAGCTTTTGAGGTGTGAGTCCCTGTGCAAAGATCTGTGTAGCTCGGGTCTGATCTCCTAGTGGTGTGCAGTATCCATTCCACCTCTTGGGATTTCGACGATGCTCGTCAATGGTTAGATGAAATCCAACATGTTCTGCTGTGCCAGCTCTGTTGCTGCAATCTACTTATCAATTTCAAGCAATCAACAATCTCTATCTCTCTCAGTTTGTAATTCACATATTCCTCCCATTAAGAGCAACGTGAAATTTGGATCACTGAAAATTTTGCCCAGATTAATTTTTCCAGTCCAATAGTTAGATCCAGAAGTCCATCTGATTTGAGGACTTATCTGTACCAAGGTAATTTGTTATAAAGAGCAACATGTTTGTCTGTCTTCAGCACCTGTGGTGTTGTTTGTTGTCAGGTTTGCTTATACTCTACAGTGCATAATATTGATATTTATTTTTCATTTATTAATTTTCATTCATTAATGTATTACAAATCAAAACCAAAAAAACTTTCAATTATGTAGCACCTACAACTTGGAAACAATGTCCCAAGGCCTTTATATGTATAATCAAGGTTCTCATGGCACGGAATTTCTAAGCAGCAAAATCAATCAGTTCTGCTGCATTTTCACTTTCACTGTAATGAAACAATGATTTTTTTTGAATAAAATGTCACTTTTTTTGGCTTTGTATTGGTACAAATGACTTCCTGACTTTTAAGCAGGCTATCTAAGGGATGTGGAAAGAAAGGTATATCTTCAGCAAGTTGAAAAAAAAACTTGGGGATAGGCGATCAATTCCATCCACGCCCCAAGGCAATCACAGGATGTTTGCCTTCCCTTTTAGTTGGGAACAGACATATGTCTGTACATAGATTGGTAACCGTGCATATGGACTGCTCTACAATGAACAAAATAATTTGATAATGTGAGTTTGGGTAACCAGTTTATACACATTCAAATTAGTAACTGACGGCTTAAATAATGAAATTAAAGAAATAGCTTATTCTCAATGTAAGTTTCAAGAACCATATTCAATGAAAATAGATTGAAATAGAAGATAATTTGAAGTGAATTCAAAACCTATGATCTAATCAATCTTAGACCTTGCCTTCCTGATTTCCAGGAATCTTTAAGGTACTTTGTTTTTTTGATGCATTGTTGATGCTTGAAAAATGCTTAGTGACATTAAGCATAAATATATTTTTAATGATGTTTATCATCACGATTCATTGCATTTTTATATTGAGAATAATTAATACCCAGGAGCGATTACAAGGCAACAATCGATGTGGAGTTCACATGACAACAAACCATAAGAGCACAGTTCAAGTGATTTATAACCACAGTCTTGAATTACTCCCAGGTCTGTTTGTTTTTAATAGCATACTGTACAGTTGTATTGCATTTTGGCTCCATTTACTTGGGTGTGATTGCTATTTCTATATGGTACTCAAATAGTGCACTTCGTGTAACTAATGTATGAGCTTAGCCACACAAAACATTAGTGATTTCAATGTGATCACTGCAAGTTTCTGAAGTGGCAATTTTGCAGTTAATTACTGAGAAATAATATAGGAATTATATATCAAAAAAACATCAAGTCACCTGAGGAAGCCATCATTCTTTTAAATGTAACATTTAACTTTCCACACATAGTCCTGGCTTAAATTCATTGTCTTCGATGCTGTTTATTCTTACAGTAGACTTGAAGCACATATTAATCATTTTGCTCCTTCCTGTTTCTGAAGGAATGATATTGCATCTCCTTTAATTTAACTCTTTATTAATATGTGTGGTGAATGTTGGTTCACTGTTCAATAGAATAATAATTCATGGACAATTAACAATGTGTATGTTCAAATTATTGCTGACATTGTTAGCCAAGTTTAGCACATACAGACTAGACTAAAATCGAGAAATCATTTGTCTCCCACAACAAAAATGAGAAGAGAGCTAACCTCCCAGTGGGTTATCGCAGCGTATGATGTTCTTGGGAGTGGTAGTCATGTGGTCGTATGAATAGTGTAAGGCAGGATCACATTCGTTCCTGTATTTTCCACAGATTCTAGCTCGTCAAAGCAGAGATATAAGTGTGGATTAAAATGGAGCTCAACTTATACATAACAGATTTTTTAAATTTAAAATGGGTCAGCCTAACAGTAGGTCAATCTCTGTATTGGACCCAAAATGGTTTTGAAAAAATTCGTGTATCAAATATTTAATGAAAGAAAAAGACATGTCCCTAGATAAGGGCTCTGTCTGTTCCATCTGTTAAATCTGTCAAACACATTCCAAATGTGGTATTTATACAAACGATGAATATTAATCTGCTGTCCAGTGACATTCAATTGGATTTCAACACAAATTTGCATGTAGTCTCTGATATGGACAAGTCTAAACTAAAATATCCCGTCAGTGAGAATCTGCAATAATTTTACTATGTAACTGAAAATAGTCCACACTGCTCACGTATATAAGAGATCAGCTTTATTCTGTGAAAACATTCTTCATTTCAGTGGGAATTCATATTTACACATGTTTAAATGCTTAAAGAATCAGGAAACTTGTGTGGTTGGTAATGACATTTATTGTATTGTAGAAGTATGGAACTGGTGGGACATGTTTTTCCATCCAAACATCCCGTTAACTAGGAGACCATAATATTACAGACAATCAAAGGTGGTGGAGACCCATTAACCAGGTTTACATTCTTTTATTTGTATAATGTGTGTTTCCAGTGATCCACAGGGCAGGTTTCCACTTGAATCAGACAAGTATTTGATTGCAATATGAAAATATGTAATGGGCAGAGGAGCATTGCAGTGGTTTCATAACATGCGCTTCATTTCATTCCAGTCCTTAGTTTTCATTCCAACTTTTGTATCAACTTTTGCTTATGCGAGGTGAACAATCAGTGCTGTTGAGTTGCATATGGAAATAAATTTGATGTTAACAATTTTGAAGCCTTTTTTTGCGTAGTTTAAGTTTCTTAATTAACATTCTTGTAAACCATCATGTCAACCAGTATCGGTCTTTATTCTGCCTCCAACACCTTACCTGGCCTGCTGGCAGGGATGTGCAGGCCTGATTTAGCCACCTTTGCTAGATGATTTTTCAGAAATATCCCAGTTATGGCACAAAAGGCATATGCCAGGGTGGTCAGCGCTCCAATAAAACCAGATTGACTGTCTGTACAAAAATAATAATTACACCTATCAAGCAATGAATAATCACAAGCTTCGTGACATTGAAGGCACACATTTTAAAATTGTTCCACCTGCTTTCAGGTAAAATGGACATAGCATTGACAGTGACTGTACCTATGGGTCATGGTCTCTGAAAAGACTATGCCATGATCCAAGCTGCATTCTTCACCTAAGCAGATAATGACAAAGAAGCCTCACACAATATAACACTCCTTGCAACTTATTTTATGGAGCGCCACATCCAATTTAGCAGCCAGTGGACTAGGTGTGCAGCCACAGAAAAGGCAGCCCAGCAATTGGTATTGTTTCTTTTGATCTTTACCCGTCACATTTTAATTCCTGTCCTTTTCAATTGTAAGGGACTGCTAACCGATGGAAAAAAACTGTTGACCCTTTCTAAAGCCTTCCAGAACTTTAACCCCTGCCCTACCTACTAATTGTCCTCATTCCTTTAAACTACCTTGTTATATATTTCTCCCACTACCCTGCATTCTTATCCTGTATTTAGACCTGCAGCGTATTATGGTAATGGGGTAATCTACAGAATATGAATGCTTTTAGCACATTATCATTCTAGATAATGGATTACACTATTTTTTATTACTTCAGTTCTAGCTTAGTCTTGGGTCCCGTAAGTTTATAGGAGACAAACGTATTGTGGACATTTGCTGTTTGCGATTCATCACCAAACGCCCAACCCCCAGTGTACAGTAGGCCCTGCTGTTCCTGACCAAAACTGTTCACTCTTCCAGGATCATTCTGCAAAGTGAAAATAACTGCACCTTTCCCCACCCCCATTCCCAGTTTCTTTACACCACTGCAAATAGTCCTCTGAAATGGTTCCCATGTGCCTCTGAACTTGTGTCCAATGAAAACTATCAAAAGTTTGTGAATGGACTGCATTGTCGCTGAAATTGGCATTCTCTGATCAGTTGCTTTAGCTGTTTCCCTCCTTTTACCTAGTTCACCAGGCCAAACAATCCCATTCCCTAGCCCTGAACTTACATCCTGCTCTAGTTTATTTCCTATTTCTCACTCATGCCCACTACATGCACATTTTGTCTGTGAGACTTGCCTCATGCATCCTTAGCCTGATTTTGCCTAACTATTTTGATCACAAAGATTTCTTTCTTGGCCCCAAAGCTAATGAGCAGAATTTAATACAGGCACTGAAAGTCTCATCTGCTGGCCGAAGAGCGAGGAAGAACCCTGTATCACCTCCATTTGGGCACTTAATACACAGGTCT